TGACACCATACCAGGATCGTTGTCAACTACTCGGAATAGAAACGCTGAAAAATAGACGTCAAGTTGCTCAAGCGATGTTCGTCGTTAAAATCCTCAGGAATGACATTGATTCACCATCCTTACTAGCAAGAATGAATATCTACGCCCCCGAACGTTTACTACGACGACGAAATTTCCTACAGTTTGAACCCCGCAATACCCTTTATGGACAGCATGATCCGGTTAGATTTATGTCAGCTACCTTTGATGAAGTTTTTCATTTATTCGACTTCAACGTACCGGTGTCCACGCTGCAACGACGGTTTACTGACCATTTTCGTAATACTTGACTAAATTTGTGTAATTTTATTTATGTATATTTGTATGAACCCTACATTATGTTATTCATTAAGACAAAAAAGTGTCAGATGAATTATATCAAATAATAATAATATAATAACATCTCTATTCAACCGTTCGCTGCATGGCAGGATGTTCCCAGTGGCTTGGAAATCAGCTTCTATCATTCCAATCTACAAATCCGGCAACTGTAATCGAGTCACGAACTATTGAGGTGTTTCTGTCTTGTGTTGCTTGAGCAAAATTTTCGAAAAACTGGTGCATAACGTTCTGTATAACGCCGTATCTTCATTAATCTCCGGCAGCCGACATGGTTTCATGAAACAACGCTCCACGACTACAAATCTGATGTGTTACGTCAACACCTTGTCTCGCGAAGTTGAACATGGACAACAAGTTGATTCGATTTATATAGATTTCACCAAGGCCTTCGACACTGTACCACATATCTTGGTCATAGACAAAATGGTACACATGGGGTTTCCGGAATGGATAACGCAGTGGTTGTTCTCGTATCTGTCGGACAGAACCGGTTGTGTTGTAGTGAATGCGGCACAATCCCAGCCGTTCAACATCACGTCCGGTGTACCCCAAGGAAGCGTTCTTGGGCCGCTGATCTTCAATATCTTCGTAAATGACGTGTGTATGCTGCTCTCTTTTTTTAACCTTTTTTTTGCCGACGACTTGAAGATTTATCGTGTCATCACTTCTTCAGAAGACCGCATGGCGTTGCAAGAGGACATAAACGTTATGCTCGTTTGGTGTAGCGATAATGGAATGCACGTGAACAGGGACAAATGCAAAGTTATTTCGTTTACGCGACGCACCAGGCCCATTGTCCATCAATTTACAATGGAATCCGTCATACTGGATCGAGTTCTATCGATTTGTGATCTGGGCGTTACTATTGACTCAAAATTGAAGTTTAACGAACACGTAGCTATTAAAAGCGCCAAAGCATTTTCTGCACTCGGATTTATTCGTCGACATGCTTCAGATTTTACTGATGTGTTCGCCATCAAAACGTTATATTGTTCGTTAGTGCGAAGTATCCTGGAGTATGCTGCTCCTGTATGGACACCATTCTACGCGACGCAGCAATTGAGCGTGTGCAGAGGAAATTCATACGATTCGCTCTACGCCAGCTTCCCTGGAATGACCCAGTAAATCTTCCTTCTTACCCCGACCGATGCCGAATGATCAACTTAGAAAGTCTGTCATCGAGGCGAATTAAAATGCAGCGTATGTTCGTGTTTGATGTCATCACAGGAGGTATTGACTGTCCTGCACTTCTTGAGCAGATACCGATCAACATTCCTCCACGTCGCTTCCGAAGTTCACCTCTACTGGCAATTCCGTACCACAGGACGAACTATGGGCATCACAATCCACTTGATTCGTGTCTCCGGGCTTTTAATGAAGTTGACGACAAATTCGATGTTAACATGTCCAAAACTGTATTTTCACATTAGGATTAGTAATTAAGTCTAGAAAATAGTATTAAGTAGTTCAGTCTGTGCGACTTAGTCGAAGGCGGTGATCGTAAATAAATAAATAAATAAATATTCCTTAACGTTTTCTGAAGTTTTAATGAGGTTTCTGGAGTTTTCATAAAGTTCTCTGGACTGCTGTGAAGATCACATGTTTTTTTCTAAAAATTCGGGAACTTTCTGAAGCTTCCTACTGTATTCTTGAAATAAGAACGAAATAAATTATGTTGCTCTTAGATTTTCAACAAAGTTCACGAGTTTTTTCTTAAATTATTGAAAATCCCGGCGCCGAAATTTCCTGCATTTTTTCTGAAGTGAATGGAACTGCTCTGAAGTTCTCTGTGCATCATATTCCTTGATGTTCTCTAAACTATCTATGTTCATCTCGGAATTTGCTTGAAATTAATGGAACTGTCTAGACGCTCTCTGATCTTCACTGAAGTTCCTGCAATTTTTTTTCAAGTTCTCGAAACTGCCATGCAAATCGCGGAGCGTGTTTTGTTTCAAACAACTGGAACACCTCTTCAAAGTTCAAGCAAATTTAAATATTTTTAGCTGTCCTTAGTTTCTCTTTCCTGATGTTCTCAGAACTTCCTTGAAGTTTTCTTAATTCTTCTGATGTTCTTAGAACGGTCCTGAATTGAATGAAACTATCCTGAACAATTTTAAACTTGTCCGAAGATCTTCGAACTTCTGTGAAATGTTCAAAAATATTACTGATGTTTGCTTAAGCTCTCTGGAGTTCTCTGAACATTCCTGGAATCCCCAGAACTTTTCAAGGGTTCTCGAAACTTTCCAGAAGTTAATGGATATGTCTTGAATTTATTGAGACGCTCTTCCTTACTGATGTGGACTTCATAATGTCTTTGAAACTTCCCTGAAATCATTGGAACCACTCTTGAGATCTCCGAAAATCCCATAAGATCTCTAGACCTAGGTTCTCTGAACTACTTGGAACTTCTTTAAAGATTCAACAATATTTCTCTTTCTCTCTCTACTTCTCTGAAGTTCTCTTGGCTTCCAATCATTCTCAGGATATCTCCGAAGTTCTTAAAACTACTTCAAAGTTCCTGCAGTTTTGCTGAAGCTAATAAAACCGCCTTGAAGTTTATGAAGCTTCAATGAACTTCCCAGAATGTTCCAAAAGTTTTCGGATCTTCCCTTTTGTTCCCACAATTTTTTTTTTATAAAACTTCCCTAAAATTCTCGGCATTTCCTTTCATTACTCAGAATTTTTTGAAAGTTTCTAAAAAAATTATGAAGCTAATGGGACTACCTAGAGATCTAATCTTTTTGTTTTTCTTATGCATGATGAACCAGAGCGAACGGAACCCATTTTTGTTTTTCAGTGAATGTAAATTACATTCAATGGAAAACAATAACAAGATATGTCCACTCTAGTTCGTGATGCATAAGAGATACAGATTTACAGATCAATTTGTAAAGAAGAAGAAGCACACTTCCTATTAATCCGCGAAAAACACTTCTATTACGTAGCAAATCTGACAAAATCGGTTGCTACTGGGCCACCGGGCTCCTTGCATCACTATAAACCATTACGTCTGACAATCGTTCAAGCCTGACGGCATGAAGCTATTCAAATGTAATGGATCCTGTTGTCAAAAAAAATATCACTGTTCATCTAAAACTTATGCAGGCGCGTGATCAGATAGACAAGGTTTATCTGGAAGTGCATATTATAGTTCAAAATCAAATCAGTAGATGTCGTCAGACAGCAAGTTCCTAATATTGTGTGGGCACTATCTTTTATTTTTACAGTAACACTGACTGATCAGCAATTTATTTCCTCAAATTTGTGCTAATGCTTTCTGTACAATTTTGCAGAAAGCCAAACTTCTCTAATCTTTAAATAACGATCATGTAGAACCAGAAATGGAACAAAGCGTTCGATGATTTTATTAAACAGCAGGGAGGACATATATCATGTATTGCCAAAAACGGGAATGGCACTGTACAAACATCCACACTGGATGACAGTTACATAAGATGACTACAGTTAACCACTTAAACATCTAAGGATAAGGGTTGTCACTGGTCACCATAGCCGGTCGAACTCCAGACGAATCTAGAACCGCACTACCGTTTATACTGGGAACAATACTCTGATGAGACAACGATACCTCACCTTCAAGCTCCTAACCTGATCCTATCCATTGACAATGTGCCCCTCTAACCTCGGGTAAGTCGTGAGTATTCGACCCAACTCCTACTAGACATAGAATTAAGTAAATTTCGTTACAAACAATGAACAATTCACTATCGGCTCCGTAAAGCTAACACGGTTGAGCCTTCCAAATAAACAAACTAGATGAAAAAACTACAAGGGACAGCCATATGGGATTGTACGTAATGGTGACGAAGGACTACGTGGTCTTATATCGTAAATGTTATTTGTTAACTGCAGCAGGAGCTTGTGTTTTGTATTTTCGAACTTTTCAGTCTCGGAGCATTTAATTTTACATGACATGTTGGTTTACGTCTCATCCTTTAAGTCAAAAATGGATTCCGTCACGTGTAAGATTAGGTATTTCTAAGTGTGTGGCATTGATGGCCCACACCGACTCACAAAGGGCAACTGATTCCGATCAATAGCGGTGCGGCTTCTTCATCCTTCTATGGATGCTCATGTGGGCTGCAGCTTTCGTTGTGTACTGGAGAACGATGTTCAACGCCACGCGCCGAAAGCACTGCTACTACCGCTGCTACTGATGCTGACTACCGGACACCACCACACACGGAGATTGGAACTGAATCCGATCAGCGGTTGAGGCCAGCCTTGATAGCTAGCTGCTGGCAGGAAGCCTTTCGTTGTGTACTGGAGAACACCACCACTCACTCAATCAATCGGTGATAATTTTAATTATCATAGCAACAGTTGCACATTCGTGCAATTTTCAATAGTGACATTTCGAAGAATGATAAAGTCTTAAATTCAACAGATGCGTAGAAATATTTTTAATCGATTGGTGATAAAATTGTTGAAATTGGTCCAGGGGCAGTTATTAACGTTCAAAATCTTTCATAATTTTGTTGCATGTTCCATTTTCGGTTTTCACAAAGTGTACCCCCATATACAAATCACAGACGTAGTCCTACGTCAAAAAAAACTTCATCACCATCGTCTTTGAAAAATAAAATTTGAGCTAGCTAGCGGTATATCCTGTATATATAACATAATATAAGATAATATTCCTAAATATGGGCGTGACAAATAAAAATAGGCTTCTGAAAAAGCTGATAAGCATACGACTAACCGCGACTGCCTTCGACTAAAGAATTGCCATCGTTCAGTTTGGTTGGATGCAGTGGACAGCGATTTAGGTTATTCTGTAGTTGTTGGTTCATTTTCGGTAGAAGTTTCACTTGACGATGCTGAAGTTGTTGTATCTTCTTGTGTCGTGGATTCAGGTTGTTTCGTAGTTATTGGTTCAGTTTCGGTAGGAGTATCACTTGATGAAGCTGGAGTTGTCGTATCTTTTTGGGTCGTGGTTTCAGGCTCATCCGTAGTTGTTGTTTCAGTTTCGGTAGAAGTTTCACTTGACGATGCTGAAGTTGTCGTAACTTCAGGAGTCGTGGATTCAGGCTCATCCGTAGTTATTGTTTCAGTTTCGGTAGAAGTTACACTTGACGATGCTGAAGTTGTCGTAACTTCAGGAGTCGTGGATTCAGGCTCATCCGTAGTTATTGGTTCAGTTTCGGTAGAAGTTTCACTTGACGATGCTGAAGTTGTCGTAACTTCAGGGGTCGTGGATTCAGGCTCATTCGTAGATATTGGTTCAGTTTCGGTAGGAGTTTCACTTGATGAAGCTGGAGTTGTCGTAACTTCAGGGGTCGTGGATTCAGGCTCATCCGTAGTTATTGGTTCAGTTTCGGTAGGAGTATCACTTGACGAAGCGGAGGTTGTCGTAACTTCAGGGGTCGTGGATTCAGGCTCATCCGTAGTTATTGGTTCAGTTTCGGTAGGAGTATCACTTGATGAAGCCGAAGTTGTCGTAACTTCAGGGGTCGTGGATTCAGGCTCATCCGTAGTTGTTGGTTCAGTTGAAACTGTTGTGCCAACAGTTGTAGTTGTTTGCGGCTGACAGTTTGCGTGATCTGGAATATCACACACATTGGCACTTGGATTGAAGTGTAAGCCCGGTGGACAATTCAGCTCCCACTGTTTACCAAACACACATAAATAGAACTTGTTGCAATCTTCTTTGTGGGGTGAAAATGCTCCAGAGACACAACCTGGTTCCTCCACAGTTGAACTGCAGCCAACGTTCTCCGGCCAGTCACAGTAATTTCCAGCACCGTTCCACTGGAGACCGGCGGGGCAGTCCTGTTCTACTGCTTTACCCCACACACAAGTAAGAAATTTTCCACAATTTGTCGGATGCAATAAGTACACGGTCTGCGAGTATGTTTTCTGATCAGGACATCTCTGACCGACTCCAAAGACTCCAACGATACAAGCGATCAAAATTAAGGAGATTCTGAACATGATGAAAACTGTTGCAGGACTACTTCGTAAATAGATCTTCCGAGCACTACTGAAGATGATTTTAATGTTATTACCTTTATATTGGGGCAGGTGCCTATCGTCCGTTTAATTTCAAGCATCTCTCAGAGTGCTGCAAAGCTTGATAAGCAATTTGAATCATTTCTAGATAACAATTTTACTATGTGTATACACTTAAAGTGAAGTTAATCAAGTAATTCTCTAGTCTTAAAACTGCATGAACAGCTACAAGGTAGGCCCATTCCCGATATGAGTAAGTAGCGTGAAGTGGTGTTGTAAAGATAAGAGCTGTTTTCATAGAAGTTTCACTGTAAACCCGCCCTGGACACACACATGTTCTTCAAACAAGAAACTTCCGCTGACAGCGAGATTTGTGCATTAATGAATGACTATCGGGCAGGATCAGTAATTTGCATTTCAGATCTCTATTAGCTTGACTTCTAGTTGTAAAGCCAAAGTATTGATATCGAAAAAAAAATATCACTCGAGCAGCACCCAAGTGGAGAAAAAAATTAGAACAGCAAAAATAAACGTGACGTTCGTTCACAAGCACAGCCTGCTATTCATTAGTTATTAATTGCTTTCTAAGAGCAACCGTACCAATGAGTAAATAAGGCACATTTACCAACCTCTACCATAACGCTACTTGCGTACCGGAGGTTGCTATTCAGGTGGGGGAAATAGCAATCCGCACCTTGGGAAGTAGTGAGTTCATAAATTTAGCAACCCGGTAGCAACGCATCAGACGATTGCTATTTTGAATAAACGTCAAAAGTTTGTTTTGCCGGTGTGGAAAACGGTAACTTAAATTATGACTCTGATAGCAACGACCGGTGTGGAGAGGAGTGATCAAGCCAAAATGGAAACGCTGTGCGTAAGTAAAATAGTGCCGCAAATGGCAACGACTGGTACGGTTGCTCTAAGCCGATAACTTTCTGATATGATCAATCGACTGATTTCAAGGCTTTACTGCTTCTTGCACTATAGTAGCCTGGATTTGTTGCCCTATTCTTGGCGCCAAGTACACCAATGTAGCTTGCTGAGCAGCTGATGGAGTATGTCAAAATAATATTATTTTCCTACGTTCAACTCTAAAGTGGTATTGTTGCTGCACACTGCCCACTAAAGTGGTATTGTTGCTGCACACTTAGATTTTTTGCCAAGATGGACACCGCCGAACAGCTCGGCATTTTATGTTGCTGGAATCCAGCAAAATAAAATGGCGAGCTGCTCGGTGGTGCCCATCTCGGTAAAAAAAATCCAAGTGTGTGTAACATAGAAAATTTCACATACACACTAAATATTAATTTCAAAACACTGTCAGTCTTGCTTAAAGAATGGAGTTTACCTTGTTTTGAAGCTTTAAAACTAATGAATTAAAATGCCCGACTTTTACCGAACAGTTCAGTTGTTGAAAGTTCGGTAAAAATTACCGGAGACGGTAATCTTTTCTACACAGCAAAAAAATAATTTTGATATCACATCAAAGTGGATGCACTACAATCATGTCGAAAATTTCATGTAATTTTTATGACCACATGAATAAACAAATGCAGTAAAAGCAGCGTAATGTCAGTTCATGCATTGTATTAATGATAATTTTGTACTTTTTAGCAAGTAATATTACACCATATATTCGACATGATTGTAGTGCATCCACTTTGACGTGATATCAAAATTATTTTTTGCTGTGTAAGTGTGTAAGTACAGATAGAAAGTTTATCCACAAATCATTGTGGTGAAAGATTAAAACGAGATGACTTCAGGGAACTTCGTAATAGTTCTGGAAACTTCGTAGAAGTTCAGGGTGTTGTATTTGGATCACCCTGTTAGTTTAAGTGTTTTATGAACCACCCTATGAGTTTCATCAATACAGGGTGGCCAGACCTACCGATTTATTGGTAGTCCTATCGATTTTCGGGATGCCTACCGATTCACAGACGAAAGGTTAAAAACTACCGATGTTTCACTTTTCCTACCGAGAATCGCAGATTTTTAGTAATCTTGAAAAATTTTCAATACCTATACACAGCAAAAAAAATGTAATATCGATCAACGTAATTCAAGCTGATGTATGAAATAATGATTTAATAGCAAAAAGCAGATACAATATTACATCAATGGATGTAATTTTGTTTGCAAAATCGATGTACATCGTACAATGTGATATTACACAACCGATGGATTGACCTGGTTGCAGCAGTTTCAATGTAATATTCAACAACTTTTTTGCTGTGTATGTTACCATTACTGATTTACATACTGATTTCGACACGTTTAAAGTAGAAATACTCAGAGGGAGAGAGGGCGGAAAGAATGTTTTGAGTCAAATGAACTGTCAAAATCTGAGCCAATCGAACATTACCATTAGATTTTTTCCGAGGATTTCTTATTTTTACTAGATTAAAGTTGAGAGTATTGTAATCGAACAGAAATTCAATCACCTTTATGTTTCGTGTGCTTCTCAAGTTTGTTAATTAATGGCACCAAGAAATGTGTAAAATATTGCGATGCAATCAATTATTATTTTTTACGTAAATCGAATCAAAAATAAAAGTCAGGTTAAACGCTAGCTTCTAGCAACGGTTGCAAGATAATTTAGGTACAAATCCCTGCTGCCGAATTGTATTTTGCTTTCTCCGCCCATCTCTCCCTCACAGTATTTCTTGTTTATAGCAGAGGAACTGACGGACAGTATATTGTTCTGGAGCAGACTCCCCCCCTCATCACAAAGGTTTCAAGTATCGGGAAAGCCTTCTTACACACTTAGTTTTTTTTTCTACCGAGTTCGGCTGTGCAAATCTCGGCAAAAAAAGTTGCACTGAGATCTCAGCAAAAGTGGCATTTGATTGCTGAGTCTCGGATAATGCTTAGCTGAATTTCAGCAAACAAATTTGCACAGCCGAGCTCGGTAGAAAAAAACTAAGGCTGTGAACCATTTGCCGAGTTAAATTTAACTCGTGGTTAAAAGTGACATTTCGAAAGTTATTCTTGATGTTCGAAAATCCCTGTGCTGTCGATTGACAAGTTTTCGAGAAGAACTCAGCCACGGTTGTCAACATTTAACTTCTTGTCTGTCAGAAATAACCACGCTCGGATAGCAGGGTTAATCGATATCTTTCCATCTTTCAAATTTTAACCAAAATTTATGATAATCCACCAAATGGTTCAGAGTCTAAAACGCTGTCCAGACTGGAGAGTTATAACAACAATCAATACGAAACTAACGATTTTAAATTGGCTCACCACTTTAGTAGCCTATTGGTCCCAAGCAAACGATTAACGTACCCTATTCTAGTTGAAATTCTATTACTACACTATGTTTGTTTTGATTCGCTATGAAAGTTTGACAGATAACATCAGGGGTGTGTGGATTCATGCAGAACATGCAGGGGTGAGTGAAATAGCTTGGGACTGCTTGGGACCGTTGTTCTGGTTCTGAGTGAGCCAAAAATAATAATGATTTTCTTCGGGACCCAGTGGTCTTAGAGTTACCTCTATGCTATAAGTATGTAAGACTGCCTACCGATAACTACCGATAAAGGTTTGAGAAGCTACCGATAGTGAAAAAAATAATCTGGCCACCCCATCTCAGCTGTCAATAAATCAGTGCATGCTAGAGTAACAACACCACACCACGTTGTATTGTAATAGTACGTTCAGACTACAGACACAGACAAACAGACATAACTCTTAGAAGAAAATTCTTCAAAAAATATCGTCAAGCGTATTTTCCATGCGCACTAGCACCATCTATCATCCACATTCCCAAGCAATGTTTTGCAACCGGAGCATCCCTCATGCATGCAATTTTTTCACTAATTGCTTTTCCCTCGTTCTGTCAACGCGTCAGCTGTATTGAATAAAAACAAAACAAATGGAAGTCAGTGATGTCGGCTCTACGAAATTTTCGAATTGATTGAATTCTGCAGAAATACGAATCCGTAGGAAAAAAATTCAGAAGCTAAGACTTTTTTTAGGGATTTGTTTTGTTTGCTTAGTGTGCTTTTTCTTTTGCTGAAAACAAGTTTTTAAACTAGGTAATGCATCACTTATTAGTGACCTTTCTACCACTGCTCATCATTTCAATGTGTACACAGAAGAAAAAATTAATATGTTTCATTCAATGATATTCATGGTGAAGTATTGAACATCAGTAGCTGGTAAAAATTGATAGAATGTTACAGTCATTAACATGATTTGTTCTCGAATTCTGTGTACATCGTACAACGTAATATTAGGAACGGATGACTAATGTGCAGCAGTTTTGATACAATAATCAACATCTTTTTTTTCAGTATTCACTCGGCTGTCGACAAAAGCAGGCCACTCTCGATGTGTGCCACGCGATCGTCTGTTTTCTCGGCAGCAACCATTGTGTGGTCCTCCTCATTGTTCTTCATCAGCAGTTCTTTAGGTCGATGCGTCGTCGATTTTGGAAAGCAACCGTTTCGTGATGAGCGTGTGAGTGCTGCCCACGTTTTGCGTCCATTGCTGCAATGGAAGCGCTCTGCCCCCCGATGGCGTAATTGCCATATAAGGAAACCACTGGAAGCGGCTCCAGTTCTGATGGAGGAGGTTTTTTGGATAGCGGAAGATAAAGTGTTTATTGTGTTGTACCTTTTGACTATAGTTTTAAGATGTATTGTCTAGTCACCAAGAATCTTCGGCTCTGTAAAGTTAATTCGTTTGAGCCGAATCAAATAAATTAATAAACAAACAACTTTTTTTTTCTGTATTCGTCAGATGTGGTATGTGTCTCCAGTGGGATGCCTTGACCTCTTATCATTTGCAAGAGCTGACATCTACTAACAAGACATGAAAAAGAACTGGCATCACTGATAAGTTCGAAATGAGGTGGCTTGCTCAATGCTTCAGTGGCGCCACCATGACAAATGCAAGCACATTCCCAACTAAAAGATTATTTGCGATGAATGTGATTGTGAGTGTTATGTTGGTTGTCAAATAATTGCAACACAGAAACCACCATCAAGATAGCGCTATAACATGTTATAAC